CCAACCACACACACCCACACACGACCCAACCCCCCCCCCCCCCCCCCCCACACACACACACACACTGTGACACGTACGTAACCATGTATATTAAGAAACATTGAGCAAGGCTTACCTCGGCCTGTGTGATATCATTCCCTGATTTTAGCAGCAACACACTCTGGTCCACAGCAAGACATCCTACAAATGACCCAGCAGCGGCAGTCACTTCAAAGGTCACATCCTTACCCAATTCGGATTGCGTAATTTCTGTGTTTGATGGGTTGGTAAAACGCACAGACACCTGCCAAAATATAAAAGTTGCACATCAGGTTCTTTTGGCAATAATTTTGTTTATTTCTTTACCTATGGGACAGCTTTAATCACAATATAGTGTTCAGAACCTATTTTAAAGTCTTTCCTACTTTCATCTAATACTCAGTGAGTTAACTGTCTACATAATAGGTATCAGTATAATCAACTGCAACATTATATTATGCTCACCAATATTTTGTTTAACCATTTAATGCATAAGATACCCCAGAATGGCAGAAGTACTCACATCATTTCTAAAAGCTCCCTCTACAGTAAAATCAACACTGTCAACAATCATTTCACCATCAGCAGTGAGGAAATAGACCAGAATTCTAGCTTTGGGTGCCATATTGCTATCGGCCGTGATGGTGAACTCTTGCCTGGTAGCAGCACTGGCAAACACCTGTTCACCCACTGAGTGTATGGTTCCCCTGGAGATGATCTAGAACAAAAAAATAAAATATTAAATAAAAATTTTAAAAAATTAAGATTGTATGGGCAGTACGACTATAACACACATGCACAATCAATATGACTCTAAAAAAACTTCAAAATTTCAATTCCGATAATTTATAAAATTAAAATGATCACGTCCATGTCAAAAAAAAAAAAAAAAAAAAAAAAAAATGAAGGAGAAAAAAGTATTTCACTAGACTGGCTATCAGCCACATTAAACACCCTAAAAAGGGTCAACGATCTTAAACATGACTCTACTGCCCTCTGGTGGCTGGGGACATTCCTGATTTCATTCTCCATCTGTATTTCCACGAAGGATCACCACACCTACTAGCATGTCATTGACCTCTATGCAATATTTTCTTCCATCAACCATTGATCATATCCAACCATAAATTAGATGATTCTTATTCCCACCCACCCAATTCCTTTTTCAAGCTGGAAGAACATAAACTAATAGGCTGCCAATACTAAATTTGCAGTGAGAATGTCCAAAATCTCATTTTCAATGATGCTGCTATCTACTAAGTATAACAATATTACAACAACTCACCTGGTAGGACACCTTGGAGAGAGATGACGTTGACCTTAACTGAAACACTATGTTTCCTCCTGCCTGGAAAACAAGCAATCTTTTTCCTTCAACATTAAATATCTATAGTAAATATACATTACTCATATTTCTATACATTCAATATCCAACAGTAGGAGTCAAGGGGCAGTAAGTTATAATTGTTCATGAACACCCCCCCCCCCCCACCCCCAGAAAAAAATTAATAAATAAATAACTCATGGATTATTCTGTGGAGACATTTCTTTCTGTGCCACTTTTAATTTTACATACATACCTGTGAAACACTGTCAACATCTTTCAAGGTTATCTGCATTTGCTGGCCACTCCTGGTTTCAAATGGATTTGGAGATTTCACAGCCCTTGCAGTGCTGGAACCTTTCAGGCTGACCTGGTATTTGCATGATAAAAGGAGATGCATAAAAAACACGAAACAATTTACGTTTAGCTGTATGCAGTCACCATCTAGCATATGACAATTTGGCAAACTGGACCATAATATTATTATAAGTGTTATTTGAGGTTACAGGAAATATTTCATACGTGAAAGCAATCACAAAGTCTAAACTATGAATATTTTTAATTGGTATTCATAAACTACTGATAAGAAACCATGGTATATATGCATTTATATAATCTTCAGCTTAGCTTCCTAATTGTCCTTTTTTTTTTTTTTTGGGGGGGGGGGGCGTATTTTATAAATTTTTACCATATCTTGTAAATAAATGTCACTTGTCTTTATTATCTAAAACACAATTACTTTTAAGAAAAATAATATACAACTAGAGGATCAGAGAGGCGATACCGCCTCCAAATATTGTACCACCAGCTGGAGCAAACGCATTCGTAAAGACCCACACACACACAAAATAAGGGACACAGCCACCAG